GCGGAGCTTTGCCGAAAAAAAGCGCCAGTCTAGATGCGGATCTTTCGGAAAATAAAGCCTTTTCCGAAAGATCCCTTATCCCTCTTAAAATAAGGGATAAGGGATCTTTCGGAAAAGGCTTTATTTTCCGAAAGATCCGCGTCTAGACTGGCGCTTTTTTCCGGCAAAGCTCCGAGACGGAAAAAAGCGGCAGCCATTTTTATGCTAATGAAGCGGGGGGGATTTAAATCCCCGCTTCATTTGCAATTGCGATATATCTAATTTGCATCCCTTTTACGGAAAAGGGATGCAGTCTAGACACAGCCAAGCTGTCTTTTTAGTTATACAGTTCCGTAAAAAACTGTGCAATATCTTTTTAATTTCAATAAGGCTAGTCACCATGGCCTTTTCAAATAGTGTTTCATTTGTTGTGACTGTTGATTTGCTTGCTAAGTATTAATGGGAAAGGTTCATTATTGATCCTTCATTAATTTTTAATATTTAACCTTATATTAATTTGGTATTCATCTGTACCGTGGTTTTATTTTTCAAAGGAATCTTCTGTAATATACTGCTCTGGTGTTTATTCCTCTTTAAAACTTCTGATTTTGTCCATCTGTTAATTGTTGAAGGCCATAGCCACAGATCATTTTGCAGATTTTAAAAAGGCTGTTAGTTAAAAAACAGTAGCAATGATAAAGAGTGATGCAATATAACACACAGCTAGCTATTGCTCTTCCAAATGACATGGCAAACATTGTATAAACTTAGCAACAAATACCCATGGTACAATACTGAATTTTCTTAGTGATTTCTATCAGTCCTTAGCTTAAGCTTTGCATTTTGTATTTTCTGATAGTTATTTAGTGCTGTTACGATGCAAAAGGATATTAATTATTTCTTAAAACTCTATTTTGTCGAGTTCACTATTGACATTTCTCACAGGTCCTTTTTCATATATATGGAGACTCCACTAACATTTAATTTCAGGAGTTGTGAAACTAAAATTCTCTAAGAATCAGAGATTTGATTCCACTTTAATTTGTAGAAATCTTCATTAGCTTATTTCACTCCTAGCATTTTGCTTCACCCTCCAGACTTGATAATTAGATACTTGCAAATCCAGTTATCTGCTTGGTTTTCACGGGTATTCACATCTGCAGATGTGGATATTCGCGGTTCATTTTTATGAACATCAGATGCAGATGTGAATTCAAAGTTCATATCTAGAACCCTGCAAGTTTGCAGATATCTGCTTTATACCTATGAGTATTGACATCCACAGAGGTCAGTGCAGATATCTGCAGAGCATTCTGTGAATACAGATGTAGATACAGATTTTGCATCTGTGCAGGGCTCTATTGATAATATGATGTTATTTTTCTAATTGTTGCCTGAACAACTTCCTCAAGAGCTACCCCATGGCTACCAAATAATAGATGATTTCCAGGAAAATGTGATGGGGAAAAATACAGCTACTCTTCATTTAAGAGTACTGATTTGTAAAAGAAACTATGTGTTGGAAAGAGGGGGCTTGTATAGGTGACTTTGAACAGTGAATATTAGAAAGATGCCAAAACTTCTATAGGACTAATATCTAACATAGCTTTGGGCCCTAAGAACTGTCATTTGTCCCTTTTGTATGTTTGAGGAGATTTTTTTTCTTTCTTCCATTATATGTGTTGTCTTCAGATCATTTAGCTTTATCGTGCCTGAAAGGATACCCTCAGATTCCTCAATGGTCATGTTCCTGAGGCAATCTTCTTCATGTCCTTGATGCATACATATGGCTGTTTTCACCTCTTCTCTGTCCCTCTTGAGAGAACAGATATCTGCATCCTTTGAGAGTGTCAATTCAAAACTCAGTTCAGATTATGTATAGACATAATTTAGTAAGTAGTTGCAGTCTCGGAAATCTTAGTGTCCTTAGACTAAATTTGACACCTGATGAAACAACTGTTTTTTATGACACCATTGTTCCTCTGTCCCTGGCACCAACAATAGTGACATATATTATCCAGGAGAAAATAGTCTCCCTGGATTTCTTTGATCTCAACAACTGATACAATTCTAAAAAGTGCTCACATTTTCTTCAAGAGGAAATAAATACACATTAGTTTTCGTGGCAAAATGTCCTTGTTTGAAATTAATATACAAAAGTGGAATTTTCTTGTTCCTGGTATCACAGTAAGACACTAATCCCCACAGTATTATAGTTAAATAAGTTTTCTATGATATACTCAACTCTGATTAACATAATTCACCCCCAGTTTTGTCAGCACTAAACCAACTAATCTTAGATTTGACTGAAGAATTTATTTGAAAATTTTACGCCAATTGAACAATAGATTTGGGAGAAGGTTTTTAAAAAAATTCTCACTGAAATAAGCTGGAACATCTTCCTTGCTTGTTTGACTGTTTTTATTTATGAAGTTGTGCTGGGATCTCTTCCTCCAACGGATTCAGGGAATGAAGGCAGGATTTTCCCCATTCATGGTCATGGTTTCATAATTAATGTTTATTTCTTAAAATGGTGTATTTCTCTCTCTCTTTCTCTCACTGGGTATGTCTACACTATGGAGAAAATCGATCCTCTGAAGGTATATCATTAGCATTTGATTTAATGGGTCTAATATAGACCCCCGGATTGAACGCCGAGGGAAGCCCCAACTGACATCCTGTACTCCCTTTTTCTGTGAGGAGTAAGGGAAGCTAACGGGAATATGTGCCTCCCACAGTGTAGATGCTGCAGTGGCTCAGCTTAAGGTAAGCTGAATCCAGCTTCGCATTTTGCGTAGCTGGATGACGTACCTTAAGCCGACCTGCCTGGTCTAATGTAGACCAGGCCACAGAGGACTAAAAAAACTAAACCTGATTTAAAATGAACATGCACTCCAATTGGATATTGATGGGATTTTGGAGAAATTTTCACTGAAATACTTTGATTGCTTAAGGATCTTAAAATGACTTAAAAATTTATAGGAAGTCTAATCTTAAAGATAACAAACACTTGGAAGCATAGAAATCACCATAAAATTTAACTTTTTGTTTGTTTGTTTGTTTGTTTGTTTTCAATTGCTTGGTTTTGTATTGATTTAATCATTGTTACTTTACAGGATTTTACTTCTAAACCTATTGGAATGTACTCTTTACTTTAACTCTAGCATTACCATGTTTTCTTGAATATGAAGCTTCATTTAATTAACTCGCTCAATTAGTTTTGAGAAACTTTTACTTTTAGAAATAGTTAACACAAAATTAAATAAAAAAAGAAAAATAAATTGTTTTCATTTACTAATTAGTCACTTTCCATTAAATAATCTTTTAATTCATTGTAAATGTACCGATCTATACGAATTATTAGCCTTTCTAAAGGTTTTAAATGATGTACAAACATAAAGCAATAGTGATAGCAGAAAATATATTCTTACTCCAATAAGTTCAATTTGGCAGTAAAATACACACATGTATTTACATACACACAATGTGCTGCAGCAAAAATAGTGCAACTTAAAAATATAGAGCTAGTGAAAATGATAGCTAGCTATCAAGATAAAAATTGACAGTGTCCTCCATTAAACATGTAGTCATCACTGTAAAGCTTATTGATGTTTAAAAATAAATTCCCCCAGAAATTCTGATGAACTTACTACAAGGTGAGTTGGTTTGGGTCCTCCCATGATAAATGGAAATTCTACTGATTTTAGAGAAAGATGGTAAATTAATGAGGTTTCTGTCATTGTTACTGGCAATTATTATATACGAGGGAAATTAAGCTTTTTAGTGAAAAAGAGGATTTAAGTTTGATTAATGTATATAATATTCTTATAAAAATCACTTTAATTTTTGCCACTGACTCATAGTTCAATAGCTACTAATACATTCAGAGCAATGGATGGGGAAGAGCTTAATGGTTCTGGTTAAAATAAATAGTAGTAGGGTGACCACCTGTCCTGTTTTTAATGGGACAGTCCCATATTTAAACCATCTTTCAGCCATCCAGACTTTTTTAAAGAGACACACAAATTGTCCCGTTATTTTCAGCTCTAGCACTCCATCTGCTGATCAGTCGCAACAGCGAAGCCGCAGCAGCTTCCTCTTTGTGGCTAGCAGGTGAATGTGGCAAGTAGTGGTCAGCAGGTGGTGCTGTCAGGGAGAGTTCAGAGGCAGAAAGACATGCAGCCAGTAGGAAGGGAGGAGGGGGCAATAAAATGGCGGCAGTTCACCAGGGTTAACCTCTTGTGGTCCATTTCTGCTTTATTTACCTGTATGTCCGCAGGTACGGGTGATCGCAGCTCCCATTGGCCAGGAACAGTGACCTGTGGCCAATGGGATCTGCGATCACCCGTACCTGCAGAGGCGCAGGTAAGTACAGCAGTGTGGGGGCTCACTAGGGGCTGACCCTGGAGGACTGGATCCAGCCTGCGGGCTGATATTTGCCCACCCCTGCAGTAGGAAGGGAGGCAGCCTATTCAATAGCTATTGAACTATGGGTCAGTGGCAAAAATTAAAGAGATTATTGGAACAATATTATATACATTAATCAAACATAAAATTAAATCCTCTTTTCACTAAAAAGCTTAATTTCCCTAATAAGTAATAATTGCCAGTAACAATGACAGAAACCTCATTAATTTACCATGTGGGAGAGAGTTAAGTGTATGGGGGTGAGTGGGGTGAGTGTCACCTTTCCCCATGTGCACCTTAAAGCAGGGTTCCCCCTGGGAGTGGGGGGACATCTGCCAGCCCTTTCAGGCTGGCAGGTGGTGCTGCTCCAGCTGCGGCTCCTCTGTGAATGTGGTGGGGGGGGGAGGCATGGCTCATCCCAGGGAGCTGGTGCTGCACTTTCCAGCCCCTCCACAGCCAGCAGTTATTTTGGGGGGGGGCGTCCGTCTCCCCAGATGACCAGCAAGCCTGCCCCCCCCAACAGCACCTTGGGGAGCATAGCCCCCTGCTGGCCTTTACTGTCCTTGAGGGATGGGGTTGCATGGTCCAGCCCCAGGGATGATTCCAAGGAGGTCACAGTTGGTGACTGGCAGGACTGGTGGCTGTTACCATTTAGGACAGGGGTGGGAAAATATCGTCCCGTGGGCCAAATCCAGTCTGTCAGAGTTAGCCGCTGGCAGGTTCCCACCATATTTACCTTCACCTGCCCCAGGAGAACCCAGAGGCGTGGCCTCCTCTAGCCCACTTGCCTGGTTCTGCTGCCCCCAGCCTGCTCATGGGGCTCTGCTCCTGGGGTTCCCTGACCATACATGGGGCGGCAGCTATTCCCAGGGTTCCCTGCCTCCAGCCACTTGGCCCTGTACGGGGCAGCAGCTGCTGCTCCCGGGGTTCCCCAGTTGCTGCTGTCCCATAGGGTGGCCGTCTTTCCCTGGGCTCTCTACCCCCAGGTCATTGATCCTGTGGACTGCCACTGACCAGACCAGCTCTGCTCCCTGCCACTCTCAGCCTCTGCGGCCAGGGCTCTCTGGTCTAGCAACATCTGTAGTCCAGCCAGACAATGGATGTTGCTGGACCACAGAGTTCTGGATGAGACCGGTTCAGCCTGTACTCGATTAGTGGGAGAAGAGTGGAGCACTCACTATCCCCGCTGTGCCTCTGCCTTTTAAATGTAGTGAGAGCCGTCCATGGGGCTCATACCACATTTAAAAGGCAGAAGTGCAACAATCGGGACTTGGTGTGAGCAGGGACTGCTCCAGTCCCCACTTGCGCCATTTCCCACTGTGCCTCTGCCCCCTCCCCCCCCACTCCTCCACCGTAGAGACAGTGCTGGGGGAAACAGGCTTTTAAGTTACAGGGGCAGCGGGGGTGGAGGGGAGCAACTAGTGAAGTAGTGACTCAATTACCCAATAAGCCTAGGCTTATCAGGTAGTCGACTAATTGCTTACATCCCTAGTGGAGGGGCAGGTAAATATAGCGGCAGTGGCTCACCAGGGAATAACCTTGGTGAGCCACCACTGTTTTATTGCCCACCCCTGGTTTAGGAGGAGTTTGTGAACAAATGGACTCACAGACAGATGCACAGACAAACAGATGCACATTTCTAAAATAGAGTGACAGATAATAACGCAGTGTGTCCTTTAATGGGGGCTCAGTCAACCTAATGTTATTTTATAAGTTTGTGCTGCATAGCTCTGATTAATTGCTGTTGAACTCACTTAAATCGGAGCAGTTTTACCAGGTGTCTCTTATTTGGCCAAGGGAAATATGGTCACCCTAAATAGTAGTGAAGTTAAGTGCCTACCTAGCTCAGACTTTTATAACCAATTTAACATAGTTGATTAATACTGAGTAATTCAGATTTAAGCAAGTTCCTTAATGAGCTTCCTAAAACTTATTTTGGTCTGAACAGTCAGTTAACAAAGACATTTTCTTTCCTTATGTAGGACATTTGTGTAAAGGCTTATCTAGCTCTTCGACATCACACAAACCTGCTGATCATTCTGTTTTCCATGATGCTAATGACTGGAATGCCCCAGTTAACCAGCAAAGAAGATATTGAATATATCCGGGAAGCCCTGACTGTAGGTAAAAATGAAGAAGATGCTAAAAAGCATTTCCTGGATCAGATTGAAGTTTGCAGAGATAAAGGCTGGACTGTACAGTTTAACTGGTTTCTACACCTTGTGCTTGGAATCAAACAAGGAGTAGAAAAACATTCTGCCTAATGTTGCTGTAAACTATAGCTATAACTATAGATCTAAATAAAAAGTTAACCAGTCTGGTCATAGGATCCGACTTTCCCTGTAGCCAGGGGGTGCTCAAGCCCACTACTCCCATCCTGACCCCCATTCCATCTCTTTTCCCAAATTCACGCACTGCCTCTTCTCTGCCTTGTCCCCAAGTGCACCATGTCTCTGCTCTATCACTTTCCTTCTGGAGCATCCCACACACCACAAAAGGGAGGCGTGGGTCAGCATAACTGCTGGTGGGTGAAAAGTGTGGGGGTAAAGAGAAGGCAGAGGGAGAGCTTGGCTGCTGGTGGGTCCTGAGCACCTGCTAATTTTCCCCCATCGATGCTTCAGATCTGGAGCACCCATGGAGTCAGCGTCTGTAATCTGGGTGTTTATTTACAGCTTACTAGTAATTGAACTGTCAGAGTTGCCTTTTTCAATTTAACAGTTTAAATGGGACTTCTAAAAATGGAAAACTGCTTTGCCTGGAACTGCAAGAGACTCAATCTGTTTCTTATAGAAACAGTTTTTCTGGAGTTGCTGACATTTGCAAAACACTGTTTTTTATTTGTTAATAGCTTTGCTGACGTGGCCTGCAATTGTCTCATTTGCCTGCATAGTAGACAAAGACAAAACAGGGAGTGGTGTATGATGTTAGCCTGGGAACTGAAATATGGGTGCCCTGTGACTATTTCCTTAATTATTCATTTTTGTCAGGCCCTTCAGGAGTCAAAGGGTGGTTTTTTTTAATTTATTTTAAGTAACATGATTAGAAACGTTCCCGCAGAAAGTACCGTATATTACATCAGGAGCTCTTTATTACTAAACATTCTTCACCTTTATTCTTCTCCTTCATCTTTTCCTTACTTCCTTGTTCCTTCTCGACTCTTTTTCAGGCTTGGTCTAAGTTTAAAAATTACATCGACTTAGATCGATTGCTCAGGGCTGTGAACAATTTAATGCTGACCACCAACATAACCACAGTTAGGTCAATGGAAGAATTCTTCCATTGACCTACTTACCTTTTCTGAGAGATGGATTAACTATATTGATGGAGAAAACCCTTCTTTCGATGTAGAAAGCATCTCCACTACAGAGGCACAACCTCAGTAGCTGTATGTAAACATACCCTAAGTCTTTTAGCTCAGGTGACAACTATGGATTCCGCCATCTAGGACAATGTTTCTCAACCTTTTTGGGGTCAGGCCCCGTTTGTAAATGTTTATGGCTTGTTGTGACGCGGTTTTAGTCGGATCCAGCCCCTTGGGGGGTTTGGGTCCTGCCCAGCACTTACCCCACAGAGGTGGCTCCTGCAGCTCTTGTGCTGTGGGCATGGTTGGGTTTGGCTCCGGCTCTGGGTGTTGCAGCACCGCTCAGCTTTGGTCTTGCCTCCCTGACAGGGTCAAAGTTGTGTGAGTGGAGTTGTGACCTGGCTCACTGGTTGTAGTGCCACTCACTCAAGTTGTGTGAGTGGAGTTGTGACCTGGCTCACTCAAGTTAGCCTACCCAGACTCCCATTCTCATGACTGGGCCAAACCTGAGTGGTGCTGGGACCCAGAAGGTGCAGTTCCTGGAGAAGGAAGGGAAGCGTAGTGGGACCAGAGCCACAGGAGCTGCCACACGACTCTGGAATATTCTGGTGACCCAATTTTGGGTACTGACCCATGGGTTGAGAAACCATGGTCTAGGGAGAACCTTGCATTACCTTTGGTATAGCTTCCTGAACCATGAAACCAAGGGCCTAACTGGCCATTCCACAGTAGTTCCCACACAACATCTCCTTTACCTTAAAGTTCCTGGGTTTGCTCTGATAATTTTCTTTTAAGTGTGAGTGTTTCAATTTGCATTTTTAAATTCTTTTTTTAAATTAATATCCAATCTATTATATTGACTCTTGAGGTATATATAGTTTTATTATTAAATGTCTGAAATTCTGCGTGTACATTAAAAGCTTTATAAAAATAATTTTCTTGTTCCTCAAAAGAATCTTCTCTAAGAACAAATGACATTTTACCAAAAGTTTAAGAAGCCCAAAGGTTATTTATTTCTCAGTGACATATTGTCAGGTTATACTAATTAGCAACAAAATATAATTATAAATTATGTATATTTTGCTATTTATAGTGTTTATTTTATTTCTAAAGTTCTTAATTGATTATTGAAAAGCTATTTTTGAAAGGAATTAGATTGTTTATTTTTAATTCCAGTATAAACTAAATCTAATGACAAGGAACTATTTTGGGGGAGAAGGAGCAAATGTTAGATATATTTTTAACTATATCTTTAGTAGCATGTCTGGAAATAATTAATTGATCCTATTTGTATAAGATAAAGCAAAACACAACTTAGACTGGAAACAAAATTAATGATATAAGTTATTAAAATACTCTCCCTGCTGATTAATTGATTTTACCAAAGAGAGAAGACAGCTTAGAGTATGGTTTATTTGCACTTGTGTCTATGTAATTGCTACTTTCATTACATACTGATATGGGATGTACATTAAACTCAGATGATCAACTGGATTTGTTAATTTCGGTTATTGTTTGCATCCATAATTTTGCATTATTGCTCAGATTTTACTGAACTACTGAGTGTGTTCTTCAAGGATTTGTAAAAATGTACTGTAGTTGGTATCTTAATTATGAGATCTGTAGACGATTTTAAAAATGTAAGTGCTTAATTAGTTGCTCTCCACAAAGGTATTTTTGATGTATGAAATAAATTTGATAAGGAAGTAAAAAATGCTTAAATGTTAAGAAATCATTTTATCTTCTATCACATCATGACCCTGTGCATGCTGAGGTATAAAATGTATGAGACATATTGTATCTGTAACCTGATATTCTTAGATTTGTGCTCTATCATCCTGAAATGAATTGGCAGTTGTTTGATGGTAAATCATGCAATAAAAGGATTTTTTTTCAAAAATAGTCTTCTGTTTCTCCGATCATTCAAAAATTATGTATGTAACTTCTTGAAGAAATGCTATTCAAAGTTCAGATTGGAGGAATTTTTTATTCTTCAGTCTAAAACTCCAAAAACAGCCCACACCACTCTCCTCATTCTAGTGACTTTGGAATCTTCTCTTTTGTTTAATATTGACAGTTTCATGATTATCTACCCTGAGGGCAAATTCCCATTTTCTAATGGGATTTTATAAACTTCAATTATGTTCTTTAAAGCTAACTTGATTTAAATGAAGCCCTTTGGCCTGTCTCTAGGGGAGTGCGGGGCCTGGGACCGATGTTCCCTCTAATCTTTTCCATCTGTGGATTTTTTCCATACATGTGCAGAATAATTTTTATGTGCACTGAGGCATGTGCAAATGTACACCACCAATAGAAACAAAAAACCTAGCTGTGGGCATTCTGCTATTAGCTAGGCAGCATTTCAGTTTCTCCTGAGCAACTGTATAATTGTACGATGGTGTATTCATGGGGTTCTGACCCAAAAGAACATGGGGAGGGGTCACTAGCCTGTTAGGGTATGTCTACACTACAAAGTTAATTCGAACTAACGGACGTTAGTTCGAATTAACTTTGATATGCGGTACACTAGCGCTCCACTAGTTCGAACTTAATTCGAACTAGCGGAGCGCTTAGTTCGAACTAGGTAAACCTCATTTTACGAGGACTAAGCCTAGTTCGAACTTACTAGTTCGAATTAAGGGCTGTGTAGCCCCTTAATTCGAACTAGTGGGAGGCTAGCCCTCCCCAGCTTTCCCTGGTGGCCACTCTGGCCAACACCAGGGAAACTCTATTGCCCCCCTCCCGACCCCGGACTCCTTAAATGGGCACGGGCTGGCTACGGTGCCCGTGCCAGGTGCAAGCCTGCCAGCACCCAGCCAGCAGACCCTGCACCTGGCACGGCACCATAAATAAGCTAGTTGCCGTGCTCTGGAATCTCTAGGAGGGCAGGGAGGAGTTGTTTAGCATGGGGCCTAGCTTTCCCTCATGAGTTCTCCAGCCTGGGAGCAACCATGGGGATGCTAGACTGCAGATGTTGCTGGACTATGGAAGTCCGGACTATAGAGGTCAACCGGTACCTCGGGATAATATAACATTACAGGAACTACAAGCCCAGGAATTTCAGAATACAGTTCACATTTAAAAAAAAATCTTTGTATAAATGTAAACATCTAGGAACCAAGAATGTAATGCCACACTTACAAGATGATGTGGACTTTATCCTGATAAAGAAACACTCTAAAAAAGCTTTTGGGGGTGGGGGAGGAGGACACTCGGATAAACATGAGCTATCTTCATGATACTGTGACCAAAATAGATAATACGCTCCTTGCATGCATGAACAGGACACTCTTGAGTAGGAGAAAGAGGTTATTTTGCCTCTTTATTTGGCATTGGTATGAGTGTTGCTCAAACACTCTGCTCAGTTCTAGTGTCCACAGTTTAGGAAGGATGCTGATAAATTTGTGAGGGTTCAAAAGTACAGCCCTGAAAATAATTAAAAGGCATGCCTTAGACTTCAGGAGCTCACTCTATTTAGCTTTTACAAAGAGAAGGGAAACAGGTGAATTGATCATAATTGGTGAATGTCTATTTAATAATGGGCTCTTCAATCTAGCAGAGAAATCTGTAACATGATTTGATGGTTCAAAGTTGAAACTAGACAAACTGAGACTGGAAATAAGGTATAAAAGTTTTACATGGAAAGTAATTAACTATTGGGAGAATTTACAAAGGGTTGTAGTGGATTTGCCATCAGGGTTCATTTTAAAAACAAGATTAGATGTTTTTTCTAAAAGACGTGATCTAGGAATTATTTTGGGAAATTTGTATGACCTATGTTAGGGTATGTCTACACTAGTCCCCTAGTTCAAACTAGGGAGGCTAATGTAGGCATTCGAAGTTGCAAATGAAGCCCTGGATTTAAATATCCCAGGCTTTATTTGCATGTTCTTGTCCTGTCACCATTTTTAAATTCCACTAGTCCAAAGTAACTGTCCGTGGCTTATTTCCAGTCTCAGTTTGTCTAGTTTCAGCTTTGAACCATCAAATCATGTTACTAAGTCCTTAGTTCGAATTAACTGTTACTCCTCATGAAGTGTAACATTTAATTCGAACTAAGGACTCAGTTCAAATTACCGTTTCACTGCTGCATGTAGCCACGGGCAGTTACTTCGGAGTAGTGGAATTTAAAAATGGCGACCGGACAGGAACATGCAAATAAAGCCCGGGATATTTAAATCCCAGGCTTCATTTGCAACTTCAAATGCCTACATTAGCCTTCCTAGTTTGAACTAGGGGGCTAGTGTAGACATACCCTTATAGAGGAGTTTGATAAACCATCTTGTTAGTCTTTAAAGTGCTACATTGTCCTGCATTTTGCTTCAACTACCCCAGACTAACACGGCTACATTTCTATCCTTATAGAGGAGTTTTCCACCCTCACTTCTGTGTAGACTTCAGTGTGGACTCTGAAGGCAGCAATCACAGAGCTTTCTGTAGCTGCAGGAGGTTCCAGAAGTAGAGGTGGGTTTGGTCTGGTCTCCCCTCCCATCACCAGAGCAGTTTGTAGGGAAGGGATAGGTCCTGACCTTCCCCTGCTCAGAGGTAGGAAGCCCCCTTTGATGGGGAGCTCCTAGGAACAGGAATACATCCGATTTCACATGGAAGGGCTTATTCTTCTTTGAGTGATTGCTCATGTGCATTCCAATTAGGTGTGTACGCTCAGTGTGCACACGTCGTCAGAAGTTTTTCCCTCAGCAGAACCCTTAGGGCCAGCGGGGAGCCCTCTGGAATGGCGCTGGTATATCGGCCCATATATACCCTTGCTGGCCCCCTCATGCACTCAGTTCCTTCTTACAGCCGTGACAGTCGTTGGAACAACCCTCAGCACTTCTACAGATAGTTGTCTTCAGTATTGTTCTCTGTTTCTTCAGTTAACTTAAGTACCTGCAGTTAAGTTAAGACTCTTTTGTTGTTCTTTGTTATTTTCGTTGCTGTTCCCCACCGCTGCACTCTGTGCACCCACGGCAGGGCATGCCTGGCCCGCAAGGCTTTAAGTCCTGCAAAAAGTGCCACAAGCCTATGCCCCGAAGTGACCCTCGTTCCTCGTGTTTAAAGTGCTTGGGAGAGACGCACCTCGCTGAAGCCTGAAAAATCTGCAAGGCGTTCAAGCCGCGAACAAAACACGCAAGAGAGTCACGTCTTAAGATCATCCGTATGGAGGCAGCTCTTCGGCTGGAACCTGCTCCGGAGTCAGCACCGGGTCCTCAAAGCGCATCAGCGTCGGTGCAGGACTTCCCCCTGCACCATGCCTCACTGGCATCCCAGAGACCTTGACACCAGTCTCAGTCTCCGGCACCACAGAAGAGGAGGAGGCCTAACGGGATTGTCCTCTGCTAGGCACGTGCCCTCAGTGCACCTTTCAGTGAGGAATGTGGCGCCGGCAAGTCCAGTGCCCGGACCTTCCAGGTTGGGCGGACCTTCCTCCCAGTGTAGGGAGCCGAGCCCCTTGGAGGACTTTCCTGAACCCTCTACACCAGAGGCCTTACAAGCGACAAGGGTGCTCATAGACTCTTCCCCCCTCACCGCCCCCTACTCCAACGCCTTCCAGGCAACACGGGACATCCCAGCACCGGGTATCAAAACAACCCGAGACCACGGCACCGAAGGCCCGGGCCCACCACGCTCCACTGGCACCTCCCACGGCACCAACCAGCAACGCATCCCTACCTGCGGTGCCCCATTAGGACGCAGCACCGGAGGCACCGCGGTACCATACTCTGGCACCGACTCACACTGTTCTGGCACCTACTTCTGCAACGGATGCCCACACCACTATGCCACCACCGCTGCCTCGGCACTAGAATCTATGGCCAGGCATGTAGCTGCTCTGCAGGTGTCTGCGTCGGCTCCTCCTTGGTCCGCCTCGAACTACAGGTCTGACTCCAAGGCGGAATCCACCTGGTCTTCTCAGGGCTTCCGGTCCCAGTTGCGGCACCGCTCCCGGCACCATAGTCCGCTTCGTCCATACCAGCAGCAATGGACACAACCAGTCCCGGTACCAGTGCTCCAGCAATCATGGCCTCCTCAACCTCCAGCCCAGTGGCCATTTTGGACTCCTTGGGCATATCACCAAGCTCAGGGAAACCCCCCTTCCTGGTCGGCTTCAGCTGCATCGGGTCTTCCGGCCTCTTCTTCGGCGACCCCAATGGTCAGATTGCCAACCTCTGGATAGACACTGCCCCCTGGCCAGCAGTCTTCTGATCCTTCGGGGAGTGCGGCTCCGGTGAGCCAACCTCCCCCACCCTTGTCTGCTGGCACGCAGCAGGATCCAGCACTTTTGGGGGTATCTATTGGGGAAGTCCGAAAGGGATCATCATCCTCCTCCCCTGACGAGGCTCTGGAAGACCCTGGACTATCCATGGCCTCTACGGACACCAGGGCCCACCAGGACCTCCTCTGACATCTGGCCCAAAGTTTGTTAGTCCAGACAGATAGGGTGTCCGATGACTCCAATCCCATGGTGGACATACTTCACGTGGATGCCCCCTCTAGAGTGGTCCTTCCGATTAACAAAATGGTGGCCAAGATCTCCAAAGCCTTGTGGCAGACTCTTGCGTCCATCTTTCCTATGGATAAGCGGGCCAAACGGAGATACTTTGTCCCCCAGGAGGGTAATGAGCATCTTTTTTCCCACCCCCCACCAGGCTCTCTCGTGGAACAAGCCGTGAATCAAAGAGAGAGACAAGGTCAGCCTGCCGTTGTCCCTAAGAACAGGGAGGCTAAGAAAACTGACCTGCTAAGCCCTAAGGTCTACATGTCCGGTGGTATCCAGTACCGCATTGCATAACCTCCTCCTGTCCTGTTATGCGTTTAACACCTGGTCCTCGATGGACAAGTTCACAGACCTACTACCCCAAGAGTCCCACGCAGAATTCAAAGCTCTCCACGAGGAGGAGAGA